GGCTACAACTTTCATGAAGATTATAAAGTCAAATTCTGACATTCAAATGCGAGCCCAGCGCATTAAGAGCGCGCCCGGCGCAATTCTCACCTGAGACCACGCGAAGAACTGCGCCCAGCGCGAAGAACTGCGCCCGGCGCAAATTCAAACAGCAACTCTCCCCAGTTCGAAAATTCCACCCAAAAACCTGCAAAATCAACTTCCCAGGCACATGCAATCGGTCCAAAGCATCACATTTCCATCCAAGAACCCAAAAATACTACCTTTTTCAACATGCAACAACAAATCACGGATTTCCCCAAATTTTCTCAAAAACCCCGAAACCCCCAAAAACAGGTTCTCATTCAACACAGCCACGAATCAACCATCAACAAGCATCTAATGAGTTTCTAGAGCTCATCCACAGCCAAAAACAGCGACAAAAGAAAGAAAATTACTAGCTTCCCTTACCTCGGTGAAGAAATCTGAGCTCCGGGAAGAGGAAGGGGAAGAAAAGAGGATCCGCACAAGACTTGCTCCGAACGACTTCAAGTTGGAGAGAATACACCTCCTTGATCACCCACAACTTTTTTTTTTTGAAGAAGAGAAAAAGAATCCCTAAAATCAGCAGGGTTTGTGAGGAGAAGAGAGGATTTGAGTGAGTAGAGAGTGAGAGGGAAAAAGAAGGGGGCAGCCACGGGTCTCACACTTTCCATGGGTTCTCCTATGAAGGTGATCTTAAGATTTTAGAAGGATGTGTTAAGAAAACTTAATCCTTATTTTTGTTTTTAAAAGCCTTCAATTCGGATCCAATGTCCAACCCAATCTCTTCTTACTTTTCACATCCTTTTTATTTTATTTAATTAATAATTAATAAAAAATTATTATTATTATTTACAAAATTAGGATCATGTGACACGCACCAACTCACTCCGTATAGTAGGGATGATAAAACGGGTCAGTCTAGCCTATTTTTCCCGGCCTACTATTTGGCCCGACAAGTTGGCGGGCTTGACAGAACAAGCTTGACAGGTTGACAGGTTAAAATGATGAGCTCGACCTGCCAATTTTTGGCAGGCCAACGGACCAACCCGCGAGCCACGGCCCACTTTACCATCCCTACCGTGTAGGGTGAAACTACAATTGTCCATAGCTATCCAAGCACATGATGTCACGTAGCTATAGCCAATAATAATCCAAGTTGTATTGCTATGACCGGTCGTAATCACATTTTTAATTTTATTTTCAAATATATAACTTATTATAAAAAATAAATTACGCTATTTTAAAAAGATAATAAATAATATAGACAGATCCAAATTTTATAGATAAGTTAATTAAAAATATTAAAAAAAGTATGCTATCTTAAAATATCGCTACGGATGAAAACAATATAAATAGTTTTTTTTTGTTGAAAATACTCCACAATGATCAAAATGTCAAAGAGAAGGAGCACAATTACATCAGTCCATTAAAACGAAATTAAAAAGTAATTAATTAACAAACGTTTGTAATTAAAACACCAATTGACATAAATAAAGTCACATTAAAACATAATTAAGATAGTTAAACTCGAAGATATTAAAATAAGGTTTAAAATATTTCTTAAGTTCTTCAAAGTTAAATTTATTTTTAATCTCTCAAATTTAAAATTAATTTTTCAGTCCTGAATTTCAAAAATATTGTTTTAATCTTTAAGTTTTGTTTGAGCATATGTCAAATATTACCGCATAAAATCTACTTATTAATGTTTTTATTAGTGAAAATATCACATTAAACCTAATTGATGTTACATAATTATCTCAATTTGTCACTTTTAAATATATTATTTTTGACCTAAAAGACTAAAGCAAAAATTTTAAGAATTAAAGGAATTAAAAACAAAAATTTTAAATTTGAGAGATTAAAAATAAATTTATCCTAAATTTGAAAAAGTTAAAATTACATTTAAATCTTAAAACAATATAATTTTAAAGTTTGACTTACTTGAGCTAGTTTTCTGTCCAAAAAAGTGTGTAGCTACTTTAAATACTAACAACATAAGTCAGTATATATATCATAATACTGTTGTAATTTTTATTAAGTATTACACCGCACAATAACTTTATATTAAATGTGAATTTTGTAAATTCAACCGTTAATATCACTTTATATGTGTATATCAAATTTTGTTAAAACTGAACAAGAACTTGAAGGTAATCAAAGTGTTCATATTTTAATATATTTTAAAATGTATATATTACGTCAATTTTGTTTTATAAGAATGAAGTATTAAATAATTATGAATTAATATAAAATTTTGTATATATGATTTAAAAGTAAAGAACTTTTAATATAACGGTTGAATTTACAAAATTCATATATGTAATATTTATTAAAAGTTATACCAATATTATTATAACTCTCCTCATATATATATATATATATATACCAATATCCAAAAATAAAATTAGGGAACGAGGGACTTCTTGTTTTTAAAAAACTTTAAAATTACAATATATTTATAATGCAAATATTAACTAATGTAGATGCCTTTTCAAATTATCCAAAGGTATTATGATATGATGAGGTAGTTTATTTATTAGAAGAAGTAGTGGTAAAATATGTTCACTGAAAAGCAGCAGATGCAGGAGCTGGTGGATTAACTAAAAATATATCAAGAAGTTGGTGAATGGATGTGTAGTTATAATCAGGATATAGCTCTGAAGCTTCAAGGTCTTCTTCCCCTATTTCGAAGGCCATCAGGTCTCCTCTAACAAATACACTATGCAGAATGGATACTGGAATATTCTCTGGATGGGGTAAGGCTGCAACAACATATTGAAAAAAAAATAAAATAAACTACCATTACATTTATTACCATGAGAAAGGAGTAAAATAAAAGTCAATATCCTTGATTAATTATTTAAAATGTCTTACTCTCGGATTGTTTGACAATCTCTTCCTCAGTAACAAAATCCTTGCGAAAATTCTGACCACATTTTTGCTCCCACAATGATATCAACTCATTCTGTGATATGATATTCTTCGAGGGTCGGTAGATAACAATACGATTGCATGTTCTTGGATCATTTGCTACTTTAATAGTGTACATGGCAATATCTTCTTCATAATTCAGCACAGCTAATCACGTCAGAGATTGCTATTTGTTATTATATGACCTCATATGTGTAGTGCAAGTGCAAGTTTCATATTATAAGGGAAAAAGAATCATAAAAAATAATATTAAATTCTGCGTCAGCATTCTCATCCTTGCATTGCACAAATATTTGTAAAAAAACTATAAGTTTAAAAATATTAAAGAGAATATCTGATGGAAGAAAGGTAAGGACCCGCCGTGACCATAACCCAACACTGGTAATTCATCATGTGAATTGTGTAGTTCAAAGGAATCTGTACCTTTACTTTCACCGTTGCCATAGACTGCAATCTTATCCCTTTTCTCGTACGGACGAAGCAAATAATTGACAAAGTATGCACCAAAACAATTTGCAGAGACAAAGGTATAAGGGATCCCAGCTGCTTCAATTTCTCTTCTAATGTTTCTTTTTTTATCCAGAAAAGCTTGGAATGGAGGAAGAGGGTTTATTCTATCTTCTTCTACCCCAAAATCTGATGGAAGAAATCTCTGCAAATATATATATATATATAAAAGAACACACTATAAATAGCTTAAAGAAGTAGATCCAAAATAAAATGTGGTAGTGTTAACTTCGCAATAATCCAGAAATAACAAGTTTTTATTTTTATTTTATTTTTAAAGCAGTTGGAGATCAAAAGCTTGCTTAACTCTAAGAGGATAATATTAGTTATGTTAAATTTCTTAGTGTATTTCTTTTTTCAAAGAAGATAACTTCTCAAAAGGAGAATGTTTTGATTGATGGAATGTACCTTTATGTTACCAGCAACTTTGATAGCATCTATAATTTTGAGTTGCTCCATCACTTGAGGGTATGCTAACACACATATAACAATGTCTACTTGTTTAATGACTTTTAAAATCTGGTCATGCTCAAGTTCTCCCTGTGATTGCAATAATTATGAGACTCATTAGTAAAATGAAATGTTAAACTTAATTAATCATCTATTCAAGAGAGGGAGAGATAGCAAGTAAGTAAAACCTGGACAAGTGTGACTCCCATGGAGTTGAAGTCATTGCAAAGTTGTGTCTTAGATGGACAAGTTTGTGAATTAAGAGGACGAGTGTACACTAAAGTTGGATGACCCAAAGAGACACTTGCCTTCACAATGTTCTTGCCTATGTAACCAGTTCCTCCAAATACAAGAATCCTATTCTTCTTCTCCATATTTTAGATTCTATGCTTCTCTTACACATCCATGTTTAACTTATTGCTTTAAATACTTGTACCATCGATCACATGCCCTTTTGCGTACGGTGTCAATTATTTAAATAATTTAATCACACAACTATATTAATAATTATATTTATAAGTAGTCATTTATTATAACTTAACCATAATTAATTTATTATAAAAAATATTATGTACACTGACATTTAGAAGAATATTTATAAAATTTAAAAAAATATCTTTATAAATATAATATATGTAAGTACTTATTTTATATATAAGTATACATAATTTTAATGTTAATTTTGAAAATAATATATTTTATGTGTCACTATAAGTTATACATATACTTTTATTAATAATATACTATCTCTCATATATATATATATATATATATATATATA